CGGGGCGGGGCGGGGCGGGGCGGAGCGCGAGGCGCGAGGATCCTTTCGGTCGGCATCCCCTACGTCGCGCCGCCCCCTACGCAGCAGGCAGCCGTCGCTGGGGGCCGGCAACCTCGCCCACAAGCCAAACATCTCGGAGGTCAAACATCCCAGAGGAACGAACCCCCTCCGCGGATGGTTCCTGACCCCTGACCCCATGTACGTACACGGGGCGCGGGGCCCCCAACACACGCGGGGCAGCCGCACGCCGTCGTGCGCAACATGCTGCACGACTCTATGTCGCAACACTAAAAGCACCGCGGGGCGAATAGCGACACACCAAACACACTCTGACCTGACTTGACTTAACGTTCGCGGAACCCGCACAATCGGAACCGGGCTTTTTATTTTTGCCCAGTAGACTGGTTGGCCATCGGCTATAAGACCACCACCACAAAACGGGGCAGTTGTTAAGTTAACCTCCCTCCCCCGCCTCGGCGGACGGCCACGACGGCAGAGGTTTGAGCTCGCGCCCCTATCGCTCTGGAAACGACAGCTTAAACGGTGCGAACTCTAACACTCAATCTCCTCGCTCACTCGCGTTGTCTACGACGTAGACTTAACTGTCCTCCAGCCACCTAGCACCACGCCCCTTTAAATAACCCCCCATTCGTAGAGGAGGAACCTGACTTGCCAAACACCAGCCGAAGGCCCTACACAGTGCACCGCTGCACCGAGCTGTGGTGTTGCACCGACGGCCGGCCGGGCGGGGCGCGCGCTGCACTCTGATACCGGTGTTCGCGATTAGTGACAGCGGGAGGTAGCGACCGCGGCCACGACGGCTCGCGGGGTGAAGCGGTCAGAAGCGGTTTCGGCTACAGCACCGGTCTGCGCCCGCCCAAAGGACTGATAAAAACACACACGCTCAACGTGATCTATACAACACGCGCCCCACCCACCTGGGCCTCTGCTACCCTTTCAGTTTATTCGTAATATCAGCGTCGCTAAGCGCACTGCAATCGTGAAACACACGGGGCAGAAGCACCTACACCCGTGTGTCTGTCTGATCCCCGAGCCCGCCGACGCGGCCGTCAAACAAATCCTGGCCGCCTATGCCTCGCAGCGCCCCCGCCTCCCCTGGTGAAAAACCTCTGGGCGTGTTTTCCTTCCCGTCAGTTCCAACCCTCGCCAGGTCTGGCTGTTGACTTGCGCGCTCACAAACACACGCCCACACACACACACACACCGACGCGCGCCCCCTCACACTTACAAAGACACACACTACCACAGGCGGCGCTATAGTCACAGAGGCCGCGGAACGCGGAACGCACAGCTCGCGGGCCGCGCGGGGCCGGGACTGGGGACGTCCGCCTACTCCGCACTGCTTCGCGCACCTGACAGCGGGCCGCGCGCAATTTTGACTGACGGCTTTGGGTTTGGGCCCGTCGGTGCGGCGAGTAGAAGCTTGAGCTCCGGCGGAGACCGCGCGGCTCCGGGTGGGCGCGGGCGCACCGCGGGGCCGCTGGGCTAAGCGGGGCCACGGGCCAGCGCGGGGCCGCCAGACTACTGCACACTGCACACGCGAAATTTCCGCGCAGCGGAACGTAGAGCGGAGGCGGGCGCGATGACCACGACCACTACGAGCTCCAGGCCCCGGCGGCGCTCCAGCAGGGCGCCCCAGGACGACGCCTTACCTGTCGAGCGGAGTCCTCGACGAGCTGCACAGCGCCGAGTCGCGCCGGTGATTAAGACCCCCTCCTGGCAGCCCAGTCGGCGCGGCCGGTGCTGCGCGCGGGTCGCACCCGCGCCACAATTCGCAACAACTTCGGACTAGCTCGGCTCGGGCTCGGCTCGGCCACTATGGAGGACAAGCAAAAGGTGCTGCTGCTGCTGCTGCTGCTGCTGAGGCGCCTCGCCGGTGCGGACTGAACACTCGCTCATGGCTGGTACTCAGGGACGTGCACAGGGCCCTGCTGCCGGTGCCTGCCCGCCCCGGCCCCGGCGCGGCCCCGGCCTGGCGCGTGGGGGGGAGCGCGGAGGAGAACCGCGGCCCGGCGGGGCGCGAGGCCCTCGCACTCGCCGCCACGAGCCGCCACGCGCCGCCACGCGCCGCCACGCGCCGCCCTCGCACGCGCCCCCGCCTGCACCACCGCGTACCCCTGACCTTGCCTCGCGGGAGGGGGCGAGGAGGCGCGCATGAGTCACCGGGATCCCTCACGCGTTCACGGGTGCACGCGCACGCACCAGTGCACGGACGGGCGCACGCGGCGGACCGTGCAGCCACCGGTGCTGGGAGGGGTCGCCGCTAGCACTGGACGCATCCCCCTGCAAACAACAGCGGCAGGCGGCGTGAAGGCCTCACCGCCACCCCCATCCAACTCGCCTCGTCTCTCCACCACCTTACTCTCACAGACGCACACGTCACCCCCACTTCGAGAAGGCGCAGCGCGCGGCTCACCCGTGGAGGGGGCGTGCACAACCTTGGCCAGCCTCCTCCTACCTCCTCCTACCTCCTCCCTCTGCGCGCACGCTTTCACCCTTTCCCGTGGGCTTGAGCTGTTCTTACCCGGCGGACAGCAGGAGCGGCAGGGATCGAGAGGAGCACTTCCCATTCGCAATTCATCACTCCTCACTCTCGACGCGCTCCACCCCGCCACGCCCCGCCACGCCCCGCC